GTTTTTTTTTTTTTTGTTTTCACGGTTTCTTAGTTGTCATTGCAGGGGTTCAAAGGGGGGGGGGGGGGTCACAAATCGAAGCCTGGCTCGTACACCCCCCCCCCAGCAATCTACACAGGGAGGTGGCCAGCCCCTCTAACGAGGAAAGCGTACTGTGTGCATCAAAGAGGGGGGCCTCTGCTCTGCACCCCTTGATCTCAGACCACTGGGAGACTGGGGGTACACATTTTGTGGGTTTATGGGCCCTGCCAGCTGCACACAAGGATAGCCTGAATCACCTGCACGTGACCCACCATGTCTGTTACGCGGCTTACGCCTTCGATTCCCACTTATTATTCCCCTCTTTCTTTATCTTCTTATAATCCCTTTCCTTCTATACTTTATCTTCTTATAATCCCTTTCCTTCTATACTTTCTTTTATGTCTCCCTTTTTCTTCCTTCCTTTGAAATAGTATACAAGCCAGTCCAGGGGGGGAATAGAATTGAGGGACCATGAGGCCCGTGAGGCCTGTGAGGCCCATGATCTCTTATCTCTACTCTCTCCAGAGTGAGTGTATGTGGAAGAGTCGCATATGAACTATGGAGTAATATGGACAAAATAATAAATATTAAAGGAAGAGTAGAGAAGCCAGGAGCTAATGTATATGGAAGAGCCCCATATGAATTATGCCATGATCCAAGACAGGTGCATATTTAATATGACCTGTCTTCTCTACTCCTCTCCTCCCACCTTTTCTTTGTCCAAGGGTTGCATCCAAAACTTTAATGTTGAATTCCGGAGTGACATGGAGTAAATATTAAATAAGTTAAAAATTAAAATAACATATATATCGTCAAATAGAATATATATATACACAGAGTTGCCAGGCCGAACGTACGGAGGCCCCTAAGCTGACCCCCGAACGTTCGGGCGATCGGGTCCCCGTATGGGGCCCGAACTCGAGGGGGTTCGGACCCCGCAAAAAAATATTTTGGTACCTAAACATTATTATTTTTTTCTGATTTTTTTTTTTTGTGTTCTCTGTTATGTAAGCTACCTGTCTATCAATTTTGAATTCATTCTGTGGAGCCAAACAATAATGAAAAATCGGCAAAGATGGTGGTGTCAAAACTTCCTTTCCCACTTACTAATTTGTTTTTTTTCTCTTTTCACTTTTTGTTTTCCCTTTATTTCGGGGCCTGAAAAAAATTATTATTTTTTCAAACTTTATTTGTAGATCTCTATTATGTAAGATATATATCGTCAAATAGAATGTATAAAATTTCATGGAATTTGACAAAGCCAAAAAAGAATGAAAAATCGCCACAGATGGCGGTGTCAAAAACTTGCTCGCCCATGCAATAATTTCATTCTCGTTTTATTTTTTCTTATTTTCATTAATATTATTTATTTTTCGTATTTGATTTTTATTTCAAATTTGGTAAGGAATTTGGATATACTGTTGAGGCAAATGTTGTTTAGTTTATTCTTCTGCATGA